ACAGCTAATAACATGGATCTCCCATGGATCTCCATGTTAATTTGATTGGAAAGTAAAATACTGCCAAATTGGTGTATCATGAACAATTAAGTAATATTATAAACTAGTCCAGTTATTAATGTATGGTAATTCTATTACCATAAGGGAAAGCTATAGGGTAAGGCTTTGTAATGTTCACATCATTTGTTGTGTAATTTTGCAGCCAATAATGGTTGGTCTAAATTGGCATTATTATGCAAATTTAATACAGTAACGATCTTATAAATAAAACTGTTGCCGATACCTCCCTCAGTTTCTTCCAAGGGTCTCTCATTTGCATAGAAACCACTGTGAGTGATCAAAACTAGGCCCTATTTCTGTATTGTTTATAGCTCTGTTTTGCAATCTTTAGTTTTGAAATAAGTATTTATCTGAGCCAAATCAGTGTGTGTATTATATAATTAGAGCTCTGTAAAATCAAGGGATTGGCATAATTTAATCAAATCTTGACTTCAGAATTGAAAATGATATAGAACCTGAAAATGTGTATTATTATAGCCCTACTACACAACAATCTAAAGAGTTTGGAGCACAGTGTCTGAATGTGATGGACACTGACAATTAGTTTACTCCAGCTGCCTCTATTAATTTGTATAGGTCAAGAACAGTTGGCTTTAAGATCAATCCATATTCAGCAGAACTGTGTAATCCACAAGCATTAATTTATCAACAACCCATAGCCCTTGACTGCTAAGAATGGTCGTAGTTTGTTCCACTACTCAAAGACTCAAACCTCATGAGGTCAACTGTGGACCACTGTGTCAATGGAAAGTTGGCAAATAAAGCAGAAAGTCCTGAGCATAAACAGCACAACAACCAAGCATGGTAGCCAAGCAACCATGTCTAGGTTAGTGTGACCAAAAGGATAAATTGGCAGCGTGCCTGTCTGAGGTTCTGGTCAGTCAGTTATTGTTGTTTAATGTGCACACAACAACAATTTCTTTTTATATTTATTCTTCCTTTCATATTGTTTCACCCTTATTATTATTATTAATATCCTGTGTTGTGTGACTGCTACTGGCTGCTAAATTTCCTTCGGGATCAATAAAGTATCTATCTATCTATCTATCTATCTAAAAGACATATCACAATGTTAAGTCGTAGGCACTTTCTGTGAATAAACTCATTTTAGGCTCTCTTTAGAATTAGAACTCTTTAGAAATGTTTTCTGTTTTCTGGAAATGTACAGCATTTTTTGCTCTTGTTACCAAACTGACACTTCTGATAACACAAACTACTAAATTAAATGTTTTAAATTAATTTAACCAATAATAACTGAATAACAGGGTTGACGCAAGTAACAGGGTTGAACACAGAGATCATATTCACCATTAGGTTGACATTAATGCAGCAAAAATACATATAAAGTATACAACTTACAGCATACTGGAAAGTTGGAAATTTGTTTTAATCAAAATGTTTTCATTAAAATCTGTTTTAAGCCTTTTTATTTCTATTTTCATTTAAAATAACTGAAGGTTAAAAAAGCGTAAGAGGTTTGCAAACTTAGTCTAAAATAAGCGTGACAGAGTGCACGTCATACACTAATATCCAAGTAGTTTACATAAATTAAAAAATATAAATATATTCTTTTCTGTAACAATAATTTTGGTAACAGGGTTGAAGGACCCAGCTTTAACCATGCGGCCAAATCAATGTTTTGTGTGTAAATCGAGAAAACATTATAAGAACAATGACTTGTCTGAAGGTCTGACGGAGATTCCGCAGAAAACAAGATGATGCGAATTCCTGTATAAATCATAATGAAAGGAATGTTCCATTTTTTCATGGGGGGCAGGTTTGAGTAACAGGGCTGCGCATAAAATGTGGGAAACAATAAAAAGTTTTTTGTTGTTGTTTAATTAAATCAATGAACGGGGAAAATGATTATTTTAACATTAAACTGCTTGGAAATTAACCAAATAATATTGCAATTATGGTGTTACTGGAAGATTTTAAATGAATATATTTCGTAGAGAAGTTCAATGTCAGTGAGGTGGGACAGCCCCACATCATCTTACTAAAAGGTAGATCTAGACGTTTTATGTGTTTTCGTGACCATTTAAATGCTAATTTTAATAATGTTATGTTAAGATGGAGTACACATCCCTTCGCTTTTCACAGAAATAAAAAAACAGTCACTTTATTGCTCATAAAAAGGTAATGGGGCATAAACTGAACTCTCTTCATGGAAGGTGCCTGTAACGAAAGTAGCAAGGAAGTCTGAAAGCGACACAATATTTTGAGGAAATAGCGCCACTAGTTTGGACCATCATATTTAAATGTCTTTGAGGCCAGTTTTGAAACCAACTCTTTAGGAAAGAGAGAAAGACACTATAATTGTTTTAACTAACAGTTCACTTAGATAGCTAAGCTAACTAACTGCAAATCATGCAGTGAACATCAACGTGTGGGAGGGATGAAGGAAATTCCATTTTTAGCAAAGGACAAAACAACCCGCTATAACATGCTAAGCAGTTGCCGCTGCTTATTAACAGATGACGACGCTAAACTGTCTTGTCTTTTAAAGAGATAGTTAAAACACGTGCTGGTTAGTTAACCGGTTAGCTGTGTTAACGTTAAGCCACCCACCGAATTCTCGGCTCTCTTCCTGTTTTCTCGAGTCCTCCTCGGCGGACCTTGGATTTATCGCACAGTTCGCCCAAAAAGGGGCTAAAGTCACAGTAAATATGACCAAGGCTCTCATCCTAGAGGTGTCGCATCACAGTCATAAAGATCAGCTCTCAGGAGATGATCAGTTCAAATTAATGACCGATATTGACTCCGGTGTTTTTCATTTGTACACAGGCGCAGAAAAAACAGAGCAGAGTCCCGCTTCGTGTCGTTAGCCACACCCATCACACGAACGGCCGAGTGTCACTGACTCATGGTCGGAGAGAAAGGAGAGCGGTAAATCCACTGACAGTGTCAGTATTAGGGCAACATCCCCACAGCGAGTCCTGTTTTCTTCACACTGCTGCACAACCGCCTCGCCTGTAGTTTTCGTCTGTGTGTTTCCGGATGAGAAATACAGGCAAGGAAACGGAGGCTTATCTACAGCAAAGCTGAGAACACACTGCCCTCTGCGGGCCGGTTACTGCTTCAAACACAAAACTGAAGTCAGCTTTTTAATTTTCAATTTTCTCGTTCCACCTTAAATAGTGCAGCAGGTACATTCTGCAGCACTATTTAAGATGGAACGGGAAAATTCGAACAAGAAGCAGGCGAATAGGAAGCCAACTAGAGTTTTTAATGTTCATTATGGACAGCGTGGGTCCTCCCCATCGCTTGTTAAAGTAGAAACAAAATGGGGAATTTAACTAAATATATACCCGCTCTCTGCTGCAGACCGCGCGCACAGCCTCATACTCATTTCAAGCCAACGGTTGTTTGTGCCGCTTCAGATGAGGATATAGATAATGTAGTCCTTTATGTTATTCTATAATTAATATCCTATTAGTGACTACTGTTATTAACTGACGCAGCTGTTTGTCCCAGTTAAATAATCTGAATAAACGACTTAAACTCCTGGCCTATACATTAATCAGGTGACGCCTTTTGAGGTTAGTCAGACAGCTGTCCTAGCATTATCCTAGCATTACTGCATAAAGGCCGGTGGTCGCTTGCATAAAACGTAAATACTTAAGTTAAAGGGGAATTCCACCAGTTTTTCAGAATTTTTCAATAATTCAGTCACTGAGATGTAAACACGTCTGGTTCCCATCACCGCTATGGCACTGCGATATGTTCAGGCACTAGGCAGCATTGCAATGCTGTAACTGAGAAAATTAGCTTCTATAGCAAAGGGTTCTATACAAAACCAAACTTGACTTGTAACAACAAAAACCTTTTTTGTGCTGTACAGACAGACCATTTTTTAAAGGTCTTTAAAGTACAACATGGTTGTCATCATAGAGAAGAACCACTTAACCATGCAAATAATTTGAGCAATTGTCCTTTGAGTTGTCATGGTTCTATATTTTGCTTTTACTAAAGAACTCATGAAGAACCAATTTGTAAGAGTGTACACATCATGTCTGGCATCTAGGCAAGTGTAGTTCTGTTGGTCTGCCACTGGCTGGGTTACTGTACACATAATGGGTTAATCTGGGCACATGGCAGAATTAGAGTATCATTTTGTTGATAAATGGTATTTTTGCAAGGGAACCACTTCAGGCAGTCTCAAAAAAAAAAAGAAAAAAAAAAAACCACACAAAAAGCAAAAAACAATGAAACTGTGACACCACACTGAGTTTTAATTCCATCTTCTCAGCATGAGTGTAGATCACATACTAAAAGCTGCATTTCTTTTAGCTTATCAGTTTGTCATTATAACTATATCTTCCATCTCAGCTTCTTTTTAATTCCATAGCAAAAACGCTGAAAGGCTTTGTATACTGCAGGAGGCCCAGTATTGCTATAGCAGCAATTAAATGTGGAGCCTGTTGAATGTTTAAGCATACAGTGATTGATCTTGACATGATTATTAACTTGTGATCAGGGCAAAACAGAGTAAATAGAATATGAAAATCCATGACCTTTTAGGGCTGCAGTCACACAAACATCTGTCCTTGGCCCCAGCTGAACTTCACACCTAAGATCTTACTAAAGGTACAGTTTGAATGCTTTTGGGATGTTTAGGAAATGTGCTATGCAACTACGTTATTCTGAAAGACAATATTAGTGCAGACGAAAACACTTGCCATATGCCAGTAGGGCAAGTACTTTAGATACCTTATTTCCCAAATTCAGCTTTTTCTTCTGGATTTTGAAGAAATTTTGAATTTAATGACTGCAAATGCAATAATGCAAAAAATGAATACCACACTTAAGGAAGTATTGGATCATAGTCACTTATTTCAGGGCCTCAGAAAACAAAATGCCCTGAAATATCTGAATATGACCACATAGGTTGTACTATATAATCTCACTGTGTTTGTGGCACACAGACTACAGAGCAGTTTTGGGGGCAGATATACTTTTGTATTTATGCAGGACTTTACACACATGCAAATTTATTAGATTACAACTGTACAAGTGTGATTTGCTTCTTCCAATATACAGAAAATACAATTAAATATTTATTTTTTTTTTATCTATGAAGTATAAAAACCAAACAAATTACACATTAAAGGCCATCTAAAGAAGAAAGAAAGGCAAAACCAGTTTCAGGAGCAAAGGGTACAACACTGCCAAAGTCCCCAAAGTCCCCAAAGTTTCATGGCAATGGACATACATTCTGTCATTTTAAAGCAAGTATACAGGTCAGAAATGGTATTTGGAATAGCCAAAGCTGGGAAGTGACACACAGACATCGCCCTCACAAATAAACTACTGCAGTACACAAGGAAAAAAAGTCTATAGGCATGCATTAAAAAGATTAACCTTGAGTGTAAAACTATACAAATCGACTCTGTCTTAAACAGACAGATGTCAGATAGCTGAACAAATAAAAATGACCTACTCCCCCTGTATTTTTTGTGCAAGAGGTATAATTCTTGTACAAAGGGGAAAACAACTTCTGGCTTTTTGCTGGATACAATAGTGTCAAAGTTTCTCAGGTACTCTTGTCGTCCTGCAAATGAAAGAAAGATGAACAACTGACCATGTAGATGTGGTCAGTAGTCTATTTTCCTCAGTATATGCATGGATCAAAATAAGCCAAATGTGGACTTGCAAATTAGACAATTCCCTGAAGTGTTTAAGTAAAAGAAAAAACAATACATGAATGCATAATAAAACCAAGAACCATATACGTACTGTACACAAGACAAACCCTTTAAAAAACAGTTCATACAACAACATCAAGGGGCCAAAGTACTACAAACCTACATAAGTAAGTGTTTCTTCACTGTGTCAAAAAGCGATCCCCCATCAGCATCTTAGAAACCTGCTTGGCACGATTGTCATCCATAGATGAACTTCAAATTTGCATCTACATACAACAAAATATCAAAACAGTGACAAACTGCGTAATCCGTTAGGACCTGAGATTAAATGAAGGAGAAAGAAAAAAAAACAGAGCTACAAGTGAGGTACTGAAAACTTAAGGCAAAAACTGTCTTAATGCAGATAGCTACTGAAGAATGAAGTTAACCTGTCAACATCAAAAAGATTTTAACATAATGAACGAAGAAAGACTGTGTTGAGTTTCAAAGGGACATACAAAAGAAAAGCATTATAAAGGAGAGACAGATGCTCACCCAGTCATATCAAACCCCCAGTATGGCACATCTGCTGTACGTATGACAACAGCAAAGGTTGTAAAGGACTCCAGCGAGCTACATATTATCCAGCTACATCGACACAACCTTAGTTTCTTACGATGTGACAAATTCGCCACGGTTTTTCATTCTTTTCTTTTTTTTTTTTAGGTTTTAAATGATATGATGTCACAAGATAACATATGCACCATTTAAGTGCTGCAGGCAAGACTGAATAAGATTATGAGCTTCTAATTAAAAAAAAGCTCTGATAATTTAATGACTTTTCTTTTCAAACGTTACAGTCTGGCTGTTTTCATGTTCACTGGGTAGAAAGTTAAAGCCAAGGGCAATCTGGACAGTTTTGGATATAGTAGTAGTATTGACCGCAGTACCATTACACTTTGGGGGCACCGTCTTGCCTACAACACTTCTGAATGCACAAGAGGACAACACAAACCACATTTTCTGCAATCTTCAAGTTGTATAAACTTGCATAGATATAGTGCTAGACTTAAATGAGCACAAGCCAAACAGTCTTGAAATCAGCCAGAGTTTATAATCCCTGCCAGAATTACAGCGACTGCATGAGGGCGATCTCCTGTTTCGAGTCATAAAAGCTGACATGAGTGAAACAGACATGCAAGTTTCCAACTATCTGACATAGAATATACAGGATTATTGTACAGTACATTGTTGTGATATATGTAGGCATTGCCTCCAGATATGCTTACATTATGCTTAATTGAGACATTTAGATAGAGATAACTGTAAAAAACAGTAAACAATTGTGATGTTTGTTGGACTGCGCTTTTGTGGGGTTTTCCTAAAAAATGGGCAATGTTGGGGTGAACAACATTGTTTTGGTTTAAAATATTTTGTCTCTCTTTAATTTGGGGCTTTTTGTTAAGATTCTTAAATGAATGCAGTAAAGCTTCTATAAAGTCAAAAAAAAAAACGCTAATTCAACGAGACAGTTAATGCAAGCATCAATGGTGATTTAAATGAGAAACTGCTTGCTAGCAATTCAGATCTAAAATATGTGTCTGAATCCCAAGATTAACCAATAGCTAGGTGCAAATTAGAAAACAGATAAAGTCCACACTCGAACTGGTATGGATGGAGTAGATAAACTCAATGGCCAACACAGCCTGCCTGAAACACAATATTAGTCTGGGAGCTTTGTATCCTTGTACAAATAAAGTAGTAGTAACACACATTTTAAAGCAAGATAAGTTCAGTTGTTGCAATAAAAAAAAACACACTGTACATTTAAACAAAGTCCCTGCTTACACTGCAGACCTTAAAGTGACAAAAGAGCCCCTTGTGTGTGCAAGACAGAGTGAGAACCAGGGAAAGTGTTGAGTGACCCAAGTGCTACTATGCACACAGAGCTACATGAATTGCAGTATTTAATTGAAGAGCCCTCCAAAAGCATCACTGCTATGCTATGAACCACTTCCCACAGATCAAGACAAGCATCAAGCTAGACAACCGTCAGGGCCTCCAAGAGTCTATTCCCTCTCGCACTGCTGAGGGCGTGGTTCGCCACTCATCTCTCTGGCTCTCTATGTGACATCAAGCACATGTAAAGTTTCACTCAGCCTTTTTAAACAAGCCTGACCACAACCCACTCCCAGAACCAAGCCAGGCCATGGCATGAGATTGGTCGTGATGCAGCTTCAAATGTGCAGGCCCCATCAGCTCCAACCTGGAGGGTCAATCGGGGACAAAGAAAAAAAGGAGGGGAAAAAAGAAAAAAAAAAACGAACGGAGATGGCCAGAGTAGCCCCCACGGTGTCTCCGCGCAGGCGGTTTAGGTGGGCAAGGGGTCATCATCTCCTTTGCTGCACTTACACTTGCAGCACAGGACAAAAGGTGTAGCCAGCAGCAGGAATGGAGAGGCTACCAGCAAGAGTAGGCCAAAACCAGCAAAGATACCCACAACCTGGAAAGAGACACACAGACACACAAGTTAGAAGACAAGGAGGGAGGTCTTCTGACTAAACATAATACTTAATACAGAACATCATTCCAAAGCTTTAGAATACATAAGCCACTTCACCAAGCACACCTACCTTGTTTCTTCACTCTTTATCCATTTTATGAGGCCCACTTACCATATAGGTGCACTTTGTAGTTCTACAGACTGTAGCCCATCTGGTTTCTGTGCATAACCTGTTAGCACACTTCTACCCTGTTATTCAACAGCCAGAACAATTAAAGAGCAGGTATTATTTAGGTGGTGGATCATTCTCAGCACTGAAGTGACACTGGCATGGTGGTGGTGTGTTAGTGTGTGTAGCAAATGTGTGCACCCAGCAAATGTAAAGTCAGAGACTATAGCTCATCTGTTGCAGATCCTTCATCAGTGGTCACAGTATGTTGGTCACAGGACACTGCTGGCTGGATATTTTTGGTTAATGGACTATTTTCAGTCCAGAAGTGACACTGAATTGGTTAAAAACTCCAGAAACTCTGCTGTGTGTGATCCACTCGTACCAGTGCTACACCACAACTATGTTAGTGTCACTGCAGGGTTGTGCAAATAATACCTGCCCTGTGAGGGTCTAGACCATTGAAGAACAAGGTAAATGGGGGCTAACAATGTATGCGTAGAAACAGGTGGACTACAGTGTGTAATTGTAGAACTACAAAGTGCCCCTGCAAGGTAAGTGATGGACAAAGAGTGTAGATACAAGGTTTACTTAATGAAGTGGCCAGTTGATGTATGTGCTAATAACATGCTAAAAGTATACTGGCTATATTAAACCCAATCTAGTTCGGATCCTTTGTTTCTTGTTTTAAGCATAGAGTTGTAGACGTGATGTAAATGGGCATTTCCACACCTGCAGAAGTAAAGCATGTTTTCAGACATTAACAAAGAGATTAACAAGTGTTTAACAAGATTATGAGAACTTGAGCCAGCCAGGTTTTGTCTAAACTAAGGGTGTCAATCTCAAACTGGGGTCCTTTCAGGCCACAGCCTCGCAAAGACCAGTGTTCAACCCGTTTGAACTCAGCTTATTAATAAGGCCATCATGATGGAATTCAACATCTTAGATGAGGGAAAGTGACAATTTCTGCAGAGCTGTGACTCAGAAGGAATCCAGTTTGACATCCTTGATCTAAACACTGCCATGCTTAAATGTGAAAGTGGCTGTTACTCTTCAAGTGTACTTTTGGCCCCATACTGCAAATCGCATGCCACCAGAGACAAAAAAGATTTACATGGCTTGGGGCAAAAAAACAAAACAAAAAACAAAACAAAAAAACAAAACAAAACTGAATTAGGACATCCCTACAAACCATTTGGGCATTTACACAGAGAGGAAACATTTTAACTGAATACTTAGTCTCCCTTTATTTATTTATTTGTCACTGGATGCGACATTTGACACTGACATTTCAGTGGAAAACTGCATAATGGATATTGTGAGCATCTTGAATGGGAAAACTGTACTACTGTTTTATCAGCTTGACACTTGCGTCTTGAAATTTATGTACAAAATTTTGGCCCAAGTCTCAGTACGGCCACTCTCCCTGACACAAAATGCTGGTTTGACCGTATTGTTTATGTCTTACAGAAAATGACATCAGTCATCACAATCTGCAGTCAAATAAACATGCATGCAAGATTGAACTGAATCTTTTAATTTGCCAAAGTCAGACTGGCAAGAGTGTTATATAATGTTTGAGCACATGGGGGCATCAAATGTTAAATCTTCACTATGTTTAGAAAACCGCTTAGAAAGAATGTGACAATATGCTGTTACAAAAGTCCTGCAAAGGACGCTAAATGTTCCCATTTGATTGGGTGACCCTGGGACACTGGCTTGTGCCTGGCTTGAGTCATTCTGTAATGACCACAGTATGATCTGGCTCGAAAAACCAGGCCACAGTACAATCGGTCTCTTCTTTCACATGGAACCCTGCCACCACTATGAGAGTAGGGTTCATAAACACAGCATGGGAACAGATACAACTTTGGACTCCTTGTCCCTACTTGTATATACAAACTCTCTCCTTGTCTCCATCTCTCTCCCTTTGGGCTGGGTAATTTATCATCTACTGTACTGGACAAAAGTCAGAGACCACACTTTTATTTGTTTACTTTATAATTAAATAATGCAAATAAACATAAAAACAGAAAAAAGTAACAGAAATCTATTTCTTTTTTTTCAGTTGATAAGTTGTGAGGTAGTTGGAAGAACAAAGTTCAAGTAATCACAAACACATTCGATGATGTTGAGATCTGGGCTCTGGGGTTGCGCAGTCCATTGTTCTGGGAACATTAACAGCTTCTTTGTTTGATAAGGACGTCTTTTTCACTGCATGGTACGGCTCGACTCGACTCTACTTGCTTTTGGTACCAGCTATTTCATTTTTCCACTGCAGATATAGTAACCCCTCAATGTAGATGGCTGCATGAAACTGCCAAGATGTGAAGGAGACAAACTTTTGTTCAGGCTAATGGCAGCAAGATGAAATACTGCTGGAAAAAAACAGGACAGTTTGGACAATACTACAGTTCAGACGACGAGACAATTCTGGTTGCTCAAAAGTGATGCATCCTTTGGTGTCGGCTCAGCTCACTTGGAGGTACCAACAACAGTACCAGGTACCAGATTTGCCTAGTTGAAAACCAAGAAAAGCGAGTCGAGTTGAGCCGAGCCAGTACCGTGCAGTGAAAAGGCAGCTTTAATCTTCTCAGTAGTGCGCTTGGGGTTGTTATCTTAAGATGAATTGTCTATAGAATGAATCTGTTATCTATAGAATGAATTTCTTCCAATCAAATGTTTCCCAGAAGGTAAACAGATAATTTATTAAAATTTGTTTGTGCTAATGAGCATTTGTGATGCCTTCAATCAAAAACAAAATCAACTCCATATGTCATACATTTCCAGTCTTGCACTGACCCTCCACAATGCTTGACTGATAGTTGTAGACACAGTTTGAAGACTCTTTGATTGCTTTGGATGTGTGCAGACTCATCAGTCCAAAATACTTTACTCCATATCTCAGGTGTCCAGTTTTGGTGTTGTATTGCAGATTTTCTTCCTTTTTTGTCTATTTCCTTAACAGTAACAGCTTTTTGATGGCTGCACATCCTTTCAGATCCATAGAGCTGAGTTGTCTTCTCACAGTGGAGGGATGGTTAGAAAAAACTTTATTTTTCAGGTCTGAAGCGAGAGATTAGCTTGATTTTCTGCTCTCTCTCAAAGATGAAAGCTTTAATCACTGTTTATCTGATGATGACAGATCTGGTGGTCTACCAGGTCTAGTACGGATGTTAGGAATCACATTTTCTATATAAATTTTAAGCATTTTTCGAACTCCAGTTTTAGAAACTCCTGTTTTTTTTTCCACTATCCCCATCCTTATGCAAGTGGATTATCTTATATCTAATCTCCTCAGAAATATCTCATTTAGCCATTTTAGACACACAAGAGAGAGAAATGTGCAAGGCAGCTAAGGCGTGTTTGGATAGTTGCTTGTGTGAATGTTATTGTCTCTTTGACGGGAAACAATGTCAGTGACTCCTTTGGGGACACCTTTTATCAGGAGAACACAGCTGCAACTCATTAGTTCTAAGACTGGAAAGATGGAAGGGTTAAAGAGGTAGGAGGGTAGACAAAAGTGTGAAAAAAATAAGTACTGATGGATTTGATAATACTTGAGTGTTGAAGGCTTCTGTGTAATTTTTAGATAAATATATATTTCCTGCTTTTTTTCCCTGAGACGGAGAAATGAAAACTGGGTGTTTTGACTGGAAGTTGACTGGAATAAATGAAAGGATGGCCTCTGACTTTTGCAAAGTACTGTATACTGTTTTAGTTTTAGTGGTATTGAAAGATAATGAGCATTATAGCCTACCCTGGTCGATAACCCTAAACTAAACTGAGGAACTTGGTTAAATACAGTGTAGCCAATGTCATTTGATGGGTGCCTCAAGCCAAGTAAGGTTTATGATGATGCTCCTTTAATTATGATCTGATATCATAAAACATTTGGAAATTACTGATATAGCATGCACACTACTTTCCCTATATCCCAGATGGCTCAAAACTCCCATCTTGGATCAAAGCATACACGGCGTAGTGTAATGGATGAAAAAAGCACCAGCATAACCCCCTCTGTGCTGGGACCTCTCGCAGCACTGCATGGCTTATCCCAGTGTGGCCCTGCTTTATTAATTCATGAGGAGGCGTGGTGGTGCTGCTGTAAAGAGGATGCATGGTGGTAGAGCCATACTCCAGCACTGCCGGACTGACTCAGCCCTCCCCACTGAGCAACAGATGGCTCTAAGCAAACTGACTACAACCCCTCCCTTTAGGATCAGACTCGAGATGAACGAGATGAGGGTTTCTGGCAGTATTCATACTTGTATGAAGTTCAAGTTCTTTGTACCACTTAGCAGTGCCTCTATTGAACACGGGACATTCCGTCCTGTTACTGGGGTGTCCGCAGTCTCTAGCAAACTGTAGCTACCCAGTGAATTTGAGAAGGGTATTTCAGCCTGTGCAATGAGGCGGTATCAAAATTTCCAACTCCTGAGTCATCCTGAGGTTAACTGAGGTGAATTTGGACAAAATGCTGGCTTTAATGGATAATAAATCAGATTAGAGATGTAATATGGTTCACTGGGAAATACACGCCAAATATTTTTCATGAGGAAAATGTCAAAATGGACTATTATATTATTATACTGATGTACTTATATAGATCTATCTAATCTATAATCTTGTTTTATAATATTCAAGTAATGTATAATCTATTTGTATCTAAGGTATCATGAAGCATTTTTTTGCCATGTGCAAACAAGACAGCAGTGTTTTCTACTCAAGCCCTCTTCACTTCTATAAAGGATCTTTGAATCCTTTAGTTCTTTGCGCTCAACAGAACAAGAACACAGACATTTAAGTACAATTTATGCCATCTGTAACAACAAGCTACTTGGCATGTGTCAGATTGGGGAAGACTATATGAACAAAATGAACAGCTTTAGCAACAAGCAGGACAGGACAACAGCTCCTGCATGCCCTGTGGTTATGGCTGACTTCAAACCTATGGTTCACAAACAGTGAATGAAAGGTTTTCACCTTAGTCACACGCGAGCACACGTGCCTGTCTGCAGTCAGACTGCTACACTGGACAAAGAAAAGGAGCAAGGAAATATTGTGTGGGGCCAGTGGAGGGGGGTGCTCACCTGCGTTCTGTGCCAGATCACGGAGGCTCTGGAGTGGCCCAGCTTGTTGCGGCAAGGTCCTTTGTCATAATGGATAAGAAGGAAGTCGTCCTGTCAAACACAGAATGATAGGAGAGGGTGCTCATTATCTTGGGAGGAGGGTTGTGAGGGACAGTTGCTCAAAAGGGTGCAGCTGCAGCAGAGTGCCTTACTGACAGGCACATGGGCACGCGGTAGCCTCTATAGCAGTACTACAACCATCAGAACAGTGTAAAAGAGGACACCAAGAGATCTAAGCATAGCATAACTACTGGGCTGTATTTAGTTACTGAAGCACACCAGGAAGATTACATGTGAAAGGATACAAACATGCTGTGTGTACTCAGATCATTTAGAATTATTCTAGTTTCTTAAAATCAACAAGGACACCATAACAGATGTAAAGCACCACTCTTACACAGCATCCCTGGTGCTCTGCCAGAGTACATCTCCACAACCTCACTTCAAGGACAAAGATTTGGGTTGAATATGGGAAGTGTGCAGAACTGGAAGTGGTTGCTGGCTATTTTGTGCATTAAATTACTCACCACCTCCTATTTCTGAAAGCAAAACCATGTGTTTAGCCTCTTTTGCAAATGACAGAAGTTTTAAGAGAAAGACAGGCTGGCAGCTTTTTAGCTAAGTCAAAGTCCAGCTATTACAACCACTGCTTAGCTGTTTTTATCTGGATCATGTTTTAAAGGGCCCATATCATGGAAAACTGAATGTATCAGTTTTTAAATTTAATGAAAGTTTGATGTAGTATACAAACATTGCTTAAGTTCCAAAACATACCGCCCACTTCACAGTCTATATGGTCCATATATGGAAACTAAGCTGCAAAAACAGACCGTCCTGAATTCACTGTTTTTGGGATGTCATGAAAGCCAGCATATTGACATATATGTGCCTATTCAGCTTACAGCAGTTTAGCTCTGCACATTCATGCTGAAGTTATCAGGAGTGTTTCAGCCTAGACTGCTTTTTGAAAATGACACAACTTACAGCAGCCAGTCAGAACAGAGCATTTACATAACATTCTTAAAGGCACAGTAACAAATACAGCCTGTTTATTCTAAGGAATGAAGAAAGGTTGGAAAAATGGCCACGTAAAAATAAATTCAGACTGTTTTTAATCCATAAATCCAACCGTAAGTGGAAAATGTTAACTAAGGAAATTGTAGGCTAAGAACACTTTAAAGTAACCCATTGACAGATTTTTTTATATATTTTAAATGTATTTCAAATACATTGCAGTCCATGCCAACATTCATTTCAAAAACCTTATTGCCATATTAACCAAATATTTTTTAAAAGACATTTTTAAAAAAATGTATGGGGAAATATTGCACACAGAAATGTACCATACAAAAATAAATGTATGTAAATATATTTATCAAATACATTTGAAAACAGCCAACATACTTGTCTAATGCACTTTACTGTTGTAGGTATTCATACACTGTGAAAATGAAGTTTGATGATTTGATATCTTGTTTATTTGAAACACATTTTGTGTGAGCACTGTCTTGCCACATAGGCACAATGGTAAATGCAGTACCATTTAATCAATTTATGTATATTTAGTTATATCTGTAACCCTTGTTAAAACTACATAAAATTGAAAAAAAAAATAATAATAATAACAAATACAAATCAATGCATTTAAAAATATGTAACAAATGCATTTTTGGCCATTTTCATACATTGCAAAATATGTTTGATAGATACATCTGGATTATTTCCTGCAAGCCTGAAAAGGAAGCTGAAATTTTAACAGTTAAAATTTTGTTTGTGCATGTTAAAGGTGATACAGCAAGTCCAAATTACACCTCTTTGGTTCTAACAGCATGAGCTCATATCTGGAACGAAACCATACTGGTAAGGCAAAGTAACAGTGCTAGAGAGCATCTAATGCTGTGTTCACACTGCAGACAACTCCAGTTTGTTTTTCAAATCTAATCTTAAGGACCAACTGTCTGCTTCATCATTTGCAAGTGATCGTTTTTGATCTGCATGTTTAGGCGGGGTATTCTTTGTCTGTTATTTCTACAGTTGTATGTGAAAGTCTGGGCACCCCTGATCAAATTACATGTACAATATGTACAATGATGCAAGATTATCATTTATTTCATTTAGTTGCTAAAGTTTGGCCACCCTTTCAGCCTTTAGATTTTATAAGGTCTCAGAGCACATTTGACTCATCAGGCCTTAATCCAAGACAGATGTTAACAACTCCAGAGGCTAACAAATTATGTGACCCTTCTCACCTCTCAAGGTGTTATGCTTAAACTCAACAGCTTTCATGTAAGTGGCAGACTGAGGATCTGAAATGAAAGATAACTGACTTCTACAAAGCAAGAGAAGACTATAAAAGCTATCTAAACACTTCCTGCTTGTAATTTTCAGTGTCCAAAATGTCATAAAGAAATGCAAGTTAAGGAAAACTGCTGAAGTCAAGACAAGTTCTGGAAGACCAAGAAAGCTCTCGGAAAAACCTGCTCATGGACTGTTCAGGTATGCAAAGCAAAATGCTCATCAGTGCCAAAGACTTACAGCAGGGGTGCTCAATCTTATCCACAACGTGCTGGTGAGGCTGCAGGTTTTCATTCCAAACAAGCTGGAGCATACCTGATTCTACTTGTTAAATCAGTTGGTCCGAATCTTCAAACAACTGATCATGTGAGCTCCTGCGTTGCTGGAATGAAAACCTGCAGCCACACTGGCACTTTGTGAATAAGATAGGACACCAAAGCTGAATAGTGATGCACAGGCCCACTGTGTAGTGTTGTTGCAGAAATGTTACCTGCTTGGACGGGTTATCAGAAGGTAACCTTAACTGTGATCTCATCGCAAAAGTCAACATCTGAAGTATGCAACACAAAACTTAGACAAGGCAGAGGCATTTGGATATCAAGTTCTGTGATCTGATAAAGCAAAAATTTAACTCTGGCTACGAATATGAAATGTATGTTTGGAGAAAAAGGAATAGATAAGACAATTCCAACAAATGTGACTAGGTTAAAAACAAGCACAATTTTTCATGTAGTTACAGGAGAAAGACAAGTTATTCATATGAGCACTTACATCCAGAGACTCCAGGCAGTACCAGCAGAAGGCATGCTTGCAGTTCTTACACATCATCTGGGCACAGCCTTCATCTCTCTCAATGTAAACTTTACATTTGGGACACCGTTTGATAGGAGCATCATCCTCTTCACTCTTAAAGAAAGAACTGAGGACAGAGAGAGAAAAATGTAAGAAAATACATTGTTTTTCTACATTTCAAGCACAGCCTTGACCCCAGCTGTGCTACCAAGCTATTATTTCAATGTGTTTAGGCAAAAAGTACTACTAGTAACTAGCAAACATGGTGCTGTTTGTCATGATTTAGGTCTGTGAAGGACTGCAAAGTCCCACCTTACCTGTGATCTGACTGGTCAGCCCAGAAAAAAAAACCCTCACGATTTAAAGTACTTGTCTGCTTCAAGTTTACCTTTTTTCTCAAGGCGCATGGAGCAATCCACACTAAACAGCTGCCCAGTGTACATAAAAGACCAGAAGCCCAGTGCATCTCTCCCATTAAAAACAACAGAAAAAAAAGATGCCTCAGCCAAAACCGGATCCAGTGTAAACCCCTCAGGGATACAGCTCACAGATACCGGTGCATTTCTAGGCCTACGCTTGAACTACTGATCTAAACACAGTGAAAAACACGACACTGATTCTGTCACATTCAGAGTCAGTTAAAGGCTCTTCACATGTTTTCTAGAACTATTTTCAAAGTTCAGGTAGAAAACTGCAGATAGTAGACTATACCATTGCCCCAAAACACATTCATCCAGACACAGCTAAAGACTGAATGCGTGCAGAGAAAGCTTGGAGTTATACAGACAATCCTATAATTCAGCTGGCTTGGTCAGCTGTCGGGCAGCAGCCTGAGGCTTCTGAAGTAAAGAGCTCAGGGCTTGACTACTACTTGCCCTTGGTTAAGACAGATGGAGACATGTCTACTTTCAAATTTAATGACAATACTTCACCAAACACTGTCATCCTGAGACTCCCAAGAGGAGGAGGCAAAGCAAACATCACAACTCTAAACAAGGAAAAGAAAACAACTAGTTGCTGATATACAGTGCCAATCTGTTTGGACTCACAAAACATGTTTTTCTTCATACAGCTTGTATACAGTTTCAGAAATCACATAAGTAAGTCTATTTGAAATTTCTTAACAGCTCACAGTTTGAGGCAAGTGACAATACTAACTGCTGAGTTAAAAGCTTTGAATACTTGTTTGCTAACTTCTGACATCAAACTACATTTGGGGTAAGGGCAAAACTGTACATTTTAACCATGAAGAGAAGCAAGGAGGATACCTGGTCTCCCCTGGCAGGAAGGCGGTAATTGGGGGATTTTCCTGGCAGTCTTGGCCTGGGTGCCAGCTGGCCTTGCAGGCTGAACAAAACTCCAGGGTGCAGTTGCCGCAGCGTACCAGCTGCGGCCGGGTGGGGTCCGCCTCCTTCAACTGGCACACAGCCTGGCACGATGACGATGGGCACCATGTCCGGCAAGGGTCCAGCAGTACCTCTGCGTTGGGACAGAAGGAGGAGACAGTGTGGTCAAAGGTCTGCTTGCATGTGTATGTGTACACATATTGCCAAGCTACATATATTGAACCAGGCAAAACGTTTGGACATTCCTGACTGAATGTATACTTTTCATAATCTTTTCCTGATCTAAGACGGGGTGCGCAGCTCCAGTCATGGAGGGCCGCACAGTTTGGTGATTTACCTGCTCAAACACACCAAATTACAATCATCTGTTAATTGCCAGAGTTAGTGGGCACGGCTGAGTTGGAAATCTCCAAGCTATGCTAGGCACTAACCCTCCAGGACCGGAGTTGTGTGCCCCGATCTAAGAGTTTATGGTTAATTAATTCAAAAGAGTGAAGCTGATATTTATGTATGTTTTGCATTTCATTTTTTTTCAAATAAATGTAGAGCATGGCCTCAGTAATTAGAATATAAGTATTCATTTGTTTCCTTATTTAGTATTCAGAAGCTTTGTTGTTTGTTACCCCTTTTGACCCCACCTTAATTCTGGAACACTCTTGTTGATCCCTGACAATTCTGAGTTAGAGGCTTATCACTACCATGATATGACATGATACTAGGCTACAAAAAGGTTTCACCATACCCAGGCATTCTTAGCTAAAGGCTTAACTCAGCCACACTTCCTCCTATGATCCCACAATGTGTCCCACTGTCTTTTGAAAGACCGGAGGAATATAAGTTAATGAATATTAATGATATTAAAATGTCAAATGACCGTTACACAAAAAGATGAGCCGAATACACTTATATAGGTAGCAGGCTAGTTAAATAGTTAAAAGAGTAAAAAAGATATGAATGGCGGGTAAATCTATACAAATTTAGTATAAAACATTGAAATAACTCAGCAAGAACTTAATTCTGATCAAGATTTGTGCTCATCTATTAAAGTGGAACTGAAGGTGAACCACTAAGTTAGCAGTAGACTATGAACTTGGCTATCCATTCAGTAAACCAGCGAAACTGACTATGAAAACACATCACTAAACAAAGATTTTTAAAGATTTATGTCTTGAACTTCTGCAACATTGCTGCTGTCTAGGTAAGCAAAAAAAGTGTATGTAGCTATTTGCTACAAACTCACAACTGAAATATTTTGACTACAAGCGAACTAAATTAAAAAGTAAAAAAAAAGATCAAAAAATGAACAAACGTTTAAATTTCTGGTCACTTATGAAATATAAATATCAATATTTGTATGAGTACTTAGAATGAGTATTAAAGCATTCCTTCAGAAACACCAGTGAGTATTCAAAGCCTATAAACTGCGGTTCAGGCCAGCCTTAAAAAAAACTGTTAACAAGGGCTCAGCACATGTGGAGCTTCTTCAAGCCTGGTGAACAATCTTCCGAGGTGGCTGCTAGAGAGAATGCCAAAAGTGTGAAAAGCTACATTAAGGAAATAAAAAGGCGGGGGGGGGTGTAATTACAGAATCGAAAATGTAAAAATGTCCACTGTTATTATAAAATGTGGAAAAAAGAAAGAAAGCAAACCTCTTCATGAGTAAGTGTGTCCAAACATCTGACTGCTACTGTATGGGCTGGCAGGTCACCATGCTTACACACTGAGGGAGCACAGAATGAGCCTAAAGAGCAAATGTCTGCCCTTAAAGAACAAGTTGCCCTTAGCATAAATACTTATTTTAGCTCTGATGTAATTATTAGCCAATGAACATCTGCGCACCCAGATGATCATTCGGACTTAACAAACGCAGCCAGGATTCTGACTACTGATACTCGACAATAAGCAGCTGAGTTAGGCCTAAACTGCCAAAATGCACAGCAGTCATATTATTTTACCAGCCAGGCTAAAAAATGTTAACATTTTATCATGCTGGCTAAAAGGAATGAGACACTTTATGTAGTGTTACTGTGAAGTATGAACTTTGCTTTCACAGTGGATGCCTACTGACAGCTATCTAGACTTGCTGCTCGGCCTTGGGCGAGATGGCATGTTTGCGCTCCTCTTCCTCCTACACACACACACGTGTGCGCGCACACTAGACAAATGCAACAGGCCATACACATTTCCACATGCAGTCCTGGCTCTGTTTTCTGGAAGTGTAGAAACGTTAAAGGTTTCTGCTTCAGCGCTCAGGAACACGGACGAAGTGGATGAACGCCTTTTAATCGGACCGCAACACTCTGACTCTCAGGCCTGACTCATTTATGAGAACAGTCACGCTGGCTCTCGCGTGTGGGTGCAAGGCCCTTCGAGGCAGACGCTCAGCACTGTGAGAGAGACTGGCTCTCACCACACCACTTTCACTGTGTGGGAATAAGTGCCAAACAAACATGTCACACTCTCTCTCTCTCTCTCTTTCTCACTCTTTCATAAATGGGACAGGAAAGCAATTAGCTTACAGATTTATGTGTGCTCTAACTGAACCCTGGAAAGATCTGTCACGAAGCACAGACATCAACAGCTGTTCCATGAGACACAGAGGAGCTCTTTTAAAGGAACACTTTGGCAAAAAGCAATTTCATTTTACCCTAAATGTATTGATCAGGCAAGATCTGAAGATTGCAAAGCAGCTACAAAAGATAAACTGCATGCTTAAAACATGTCACGCTTGCCTCAAAGCATATCACGTCAAGTAATCTCAAATAGACAGAAATTTTATGTGGTTTTTGATATCGCAAGATATACTGTTGACTATAAGAATGGACAAATGAACACTGCATTAGAGTTGTCATCAAACTAAAATTTGACACTAATTTGATGCCACAGCAAAAGCGGAAACGCTATTAAGCACAATCCTTTTATTTATAAACTACATTAATAAAACTTAAGGCTGAAACAATTATTCAACATTACTGATAATGCTGACAATAAAATATCATCAACAAATATTTCTATTGCTGATCTTTCGTTTCGTTTGCTAAGGGAGCCCAACCTAGAATAAGTTAATGACTTAACATGAAGAGGGCAGTATCGTGTCGTACCTGTGACAGCAGATAGCGAAAGAAAAAGAACCATTATGGTTGAAATCTGGGAGCATGTTTTTCAAAATAAAGAATAAAGTAGTCACATTCAATGCAAGTCTGACTCACAGTGTTGCTTTCGACTTCCAGATAAGACTATAGATAGTGTTGATTCTGACACAGCAGAATGATCAGTAAATGGTATCTTTCCCTCCAGCTAGTGTTCTGATAAACCAGACTACTCCCTGAGGACTTGTTAGATGAGCTAATGTTACCCTTACAAACATCACTAAATCTCATCATTTTATATTACTGATGTTAGTCATCGGATTATTCTAAGCCAGTTTCTGTTGAGCAGAAGTATTTAATAGGCTATTTCAAAAAACTGTTGAACTTTCGGCAGCTTCTGTGTACTATCACAGTTACTCAGTGGTTAATGAGACTAAAATACAACTAATTTTGTAAACAAGGTTTTCATGGGAAAAAAATGCCATCAGCTCATCCTCAATTCACGCATAACTTGACCAGCACATGTGAACCAGCACATTAAAATGTTAAACCGGTTAAAATAAATGATGCTGCAGCCTAAAGAGCTATAGCGTTATTTATATATGTATTATTATATCACATATTTTTAGCTACTGTTTTTTAGTAACTGTAACTCAAAATTAGGGACACGTTTAAACAAAGCACCAAATGTATTTTTTTCCTGCGGCTGGTAATTTAGCTCTTGATAAACAATGAATAATGATTGACCATTAAAATAATATTTTTTGAGGCCTAATTAAAACCCATAATGACTAGCCATTTAAATGCTGAACTAGTAAATGTAATGCCAGAGCACATCAACTAAACGTTTATAACCAATTACAAACAATTTACCACAATATCTAGAAAAATAACTGCCAAGCCCAGTTATTTGGGAGTAAACAAGGGAGAACCTTCTAACAATCACAGAAGTTTGGGTTGTTTTGGGTTTGTTTGGAACAAGCATGACTTTTGAGGTCCACTATGTCACCCTGCTGATCCATCTCAAATTTGTTTTTTCATAGGCTCAATGCCTTTTTCTACTAGGCAACTCAAAAAAAACAAAAACAAAACAAAATGAACCACAGTATTTTACAAATCTGTGTGTTGAAATTGGAAAACTGGGCCTCTGTTCAGTGATGCAAAGGACAATGTGATGTCTGGAGCAGTCACAGTCAGATGGAGATTTCAGAACATGCAGTAATTGTTTTATTAAGTAGCCAAAGCAACCAGAGCAGGCTGCACTGTAGGAACTTAAAACCAGTGCGTCGTTCGGGCTCCAACGAGAACTTGACTGTGGCTCGTTTTCATTATAAATTAGGTCATAATATGTCACAATATGCTTTTCTGAGCATATTGTGGATATCGTCAGTACTTTTTTATCTAGTCATTTTGTTTTTTTTATGTGTTACCGCTCTGACTTTTCCAACTTACCAGACTTTTCCAGATATCAGAAAAATATATCATGACATATAGGGTATCATGAAAACTTCTGCAAGTGTTGTGATAATGCATTGCTGCTGTATCACCCTCCTCTAATTGTTGGCACTGTTTTATTATTTAAAAAAAAACAAAAAAAACAACACGTTACATTTTTTTCAGTTCTGAAATCGACTTGAATACTGAATACATCCCTACATTTCAGAGATCAAAAACAGCAGTAGCAGGCATTTTGAAGGCTAAATTCTGTCAGTTATTTGGTGTTCTTTCATAGATAATGTCAGAAATCCAGATTCCTAGCATTTCTTGGCTAATCAACTATACTGGACTAAGGGCAAAAATCTGTAAATTTATGGCTGAACTATTTCATTTACTTCCCACGCACTAACTTCATGAATTAGAAGTCATTTGTTTTGTCCATCTAAGCTTACTTCAATTCATCCACAATTCCTTTAAATTCCGGCTTTAAAATGCAACATATGCAACTCTATCAGACAAAGCATCAGACTGGCTCTTAACACAACAACCCCAAATCACGGTAAATAAAAGCAAAGATATTGATCCAAATAGCTTCTGTGATTCAGCAATAATGGACATGTGGGAGTGAAAGGCCGGCGCGTGGTTCTGGATGACACTGATGCAAGAAGGCAGATGGCAGGCTGCATGTGTGTGAGCAACGGTGTACTCCAGTGAAAGAGACTGCGCTCAGCCAACGTGACCTCCGCCAGCCGCACGTGCACTGACACCGACCCACCGCATCTCTCTCCCACTCACACACACGCGCGCCGACCTCCTCACGAGTGAAACTCGCTCAGTCAGAGACAGGTGGAGAGCGCAGTAATGCACTCACACAGTCCACTGCTGGACAACTGATGTGACAGACTGCTTTCGACACACATCCCACTGAAATGTCCCTAAAAATGCCATTTGCATTTCCATTATTCTGTGCTTAAAAGCATTTGAAAGCATTTGACTCAATATTCAATTGTGTAATTTAAAGAATGCAAACAACTCTTGGATGAATATATGTAGCAGTTATTTTCATGCGAAATCTAGCAAATTCAACCTTCACATCTGAAAACTTTGCAAATCAACCTTCATATCTGCAATCAGATCAGAGATGCATATGACCATTTGTAGTGTGAACACTAAAGAGTCCTGATGCACCACTCTGTCAATGGTTTTAATCAGTTTTCTCTCATTGCTGTTACTTAACAAATGCATGTATCAGAGTAAAACTGAGTGAGTTGTGTTGCTTCCTGATACGTGTTTGTGTGGTCAGTTCAACCTTATTGAATAAAACTAAACCTCTGCAACGTTGGCACCTAGCATCATCACCTGTGTGCATTTTTGTAACTTTTGCCCAGTTTAACTCACCCTCTTTGTGTTGTCTTTCCACCTGGCCTACCTTCCTTCATGTATGCAGCTTTCCTATACTCCTTGGTTAACTCCTGGTAGTACAGTAATAACTTAATTATGTAGGTCTAACAAACCTATTATCATGTGTTGCTTGTTCTACTTTCAAGGATTCAATATAACCATATTAAGTTGAATGTAGGAGTACTACATAATAACAAATCAGCCCAGCGAATTTAATCTAAATAATATCTCTGAAGCTACTTAACACAGCTTTGTTGAACCACTTGACAACTATACTGGACTAAGGGCAAAAATCTGTAAATTTATGGCTGAACTATTTCATTTACTTCCCACGCACTAACTTCATGAATTAGAAGTCATTTGTTTTGTCCATCTAAGCTTACTTCAATTCATCCACAATTCCTTTAAATTCCGGCTTTAAAATGCAACATATGCAACCCTATCAGACAAAGCATCAGACTGGCTCTTAACACAACAACCCCAAATCACGGTAAATAAAAGCAAAGATATTGATCCAAATAGCTTCTGTGATTCAGCAATAATGGACTAGTTTAGACTCTTGTTAAAATGCACAATAGCCACATTGAGCATGCACTTTCTTTACTGTAGACACCTGAACTATGGGGAAAGTCTAACTTTGCAAAGATCTTTCATCACATATGATTTTTGGTGATGCCTCACCATCTGGGATCAAGACTACAAGGTGATGGTGTTCTCACAAGATTTATAGGAACAATAATGTAGGGAACATAACTTTGAATACCCAGAGTACCGATTCCTGAAAGCTGCCAAAATCAAAGTTTGCTTAGCGACTGCGATTAGCACTGGCAGACCACGGACTGGAGCCACAGTGAAGAGGTTTCTAGTCTCATTTTAAGACAGCGGCAGCTGCCATGTGCTTTTCCTTTTCATGTAGTTCCTTTCAGTGTCTACCATGATTGCATGTTGAAACATCTTTCACAGTTTTTCAGTGCACACATCCTCAATGCTCCCCCTTGGCTAACCAAGAATAGTAATTTATGTTTGATAGCCTGCAATTTTTGAAGACACACTTACCCGGAATATTTACCTAGTCTTGTTACTTAAGACCTGGTATTCTAGTCTCTTGCCTAGTTTTTTTGCAATCAGTGCTCAACATATGATTAGATAAAGGTTCAGGACTTGGCAAAGTCTACAAAGTAGTTATTATTTTCAAAAAAACATTTATTAAAAAATAATATTCATAACACATTCTATTATTGTGCTGCATCTTTCAGATCAAACTCATGTGTAAAGGTACTGGCATCCTCAAATGACGTCGTTTTTGTGCTGAATTTCAATCAAAGTATATTTTGCTCCAACAACCATAATGGACAAAGAGGCTCTTCCTACTCACCTTTTTCAAACTGCAGCTTCCTGTATCTCTGCATTATCTCTGACGCCACCATGCACTCAATCTGTGAGACAGAGAGTCAGGGTGAGATAGAGTGATGGCTAACAAACAGAAGGTTGCTGAGGAAACAAAAGATCCAACATAACAACATAAACAGGCCCTACAAACACAAACACAGAGGGACATTTGGCAAGGTTAGTAAGCCACCTGGACAGACATAGAAAGCCACATATGGACCTTGCCTTCATAAGAGGGTTTGAGTGCAAACTGTGCAGATAAAGCTTCATTGTGAGTGAATCAGGCATCACACACACACACACACACACACACACACACGTAGCCCAAAGCACAGAGGGCTCTGCCCTCAGACTGACCTCAGACTGAGAGCATGTAGGCTGTGTAGTCCAGCCACTGTGTGCAACCATCAACAGTGTCTACCGTCATATTTCTCAAGCTCCTCGGTATAAATGCTGGCCTGTGCTCAGTTTCTGCCCTTCAGAAAGAGCTGATCCTAGATCAGCACACACTCTGAAGTATGACATTGCTAGTGCAGACTAGGGCTACATAATTTCTCTGATGTTATTTAAAAATTAAAATACCAAAATATAGCTTCTGCCAATACTGATAGAAGAAGGCTGAATATGCAAATGAGCCCTCAAGGAATTCACATGACCCAAAAATGTAAAGAATTTTAGCCAAAATGATGCAAGTCAGTCTTTAATTCATGTTACATCAAGGGCTGTCCAATGTGTAATGTATTGGGAGGCATATTGTAATATTAATAGGTAGCAATATAATCACAATATGGCATTTTGTCAATACCTTGCAGCCGTAGTACAGACCACGTCTTCAATGAATGAATCAATTGTGGTTTGCAGAGTGAAAGCAAAGCTGTAAGGCGAAAGAACTTAGAGAACATGGGCTGGAGCTCTGGCAGCTCTTCCTTTGCAGTAGACGACCAGGCTCCCCTTGTAGAGATTGAGGGCATTTTCACACTTGTGTCATTTTAGTGTTTCAAGATGTCTCAAATTGCAGACACTGCATTTTTTGTGCATATATGAAAAAGTTTAACAAGTTCAGACTTTCTAAAGTGACCATAAACAAACCAAACTCTGACTGCCACCTCGTCTGAGTTGATCTCTGTAAAGTTTGTTTTGCCATCTGAAAACTGCTGCTATAGTGAAACTATATTTAACAGTAGAAATTGTAAGCTGCATGGTCGCTATGGCAACCAGAAACACTATGCTGTTTTCTGCATGCATAGAGTTCACTCACGGTTCTTTCCCAGTCATGCAAAGTTGCCAGATTCATGATTCTGCCAACAAATTGGGCTAGTTTTAAAATGTAGTCTAGGTGAAAAATTATACAGTCGTGGGGTGTGGATTTTTGTTTGGAGTACTTTCTAAATGTACTGCGGCCGTGGAAAAAAGTCTGAAAATGAAATGTATCGACTTATTGTTGTATAGTGATCCTAGCATTGAACAGCTGGCAACCCGAGGACATACAAGCACGTACAGCAAGAAAAGCGACAAAAGAGCGAGGCTCATTTGGTGGCATCACTGACAATTCTAAACCTGAGGGAGAACAAATGTGCAAATGTTACAAAAAGAGATCTCTGTAAAGAGACACTGCCAACTACTAATTAGGACAATAAGAGTTGATAGAAGATTTGTTGGATGTAGAGAACTTATTTGAATAAATGTGTTTTTTTACACCCTGTTTCAGACAGTTACATTTGGACACATTTTTGAACAGTTTCACCTTCTGGTGGGTTTTAAGTAAACTTTAGGCTGTTTTGTTTTACCCTGCAGTATGTAAGCAATGCAGCCGTGTGACTGCTACAGCTTGCAGGCGTCACACATATAGTGTTAGTGCTGCTCCACTCCACAGTGAGAAAGATCTACAGATATCCTTTTGTCAAGTGGATAAATAATCAAATCAGTCACTCTGCCCAAGAAAAATATCATTCTTAAGGGAGCACGGTGCATTTGTTAACCATCAACAGCATTCTGACTTGTGACTGAGTAATTGGTTCAAGCCTGGTGGACCAACTAAGAAATCTGGATACAGCACGATAACTAGTATTACACTTGATAATGGTCATGAATGGAAAAAAAAAGGGTTTGTAAAGGTTTTGTTTAGTCTTCTGTTTAATTTTCATTAATTCTTGTAGCTTATTTCACAGTATTTTGCTGTTTGGCACATGATCCTTGTCTATTCTATAAATACTGGGAGCTTCAATGGAAGAGCTTTAAAATAAAATTATTTACACTGAATATTGATTTTATTGATTAACATTATGAGCAGATCACATACCATTTTCCCAGTATGTGATCTGCTCAAGATATTATGAGATGACAGTAGTGTAAAGTGATCATATTATTGAAAATTACTGTGTATATATACTAAATGTTGTATATTGTTATTGTATATGTTACATTGTATGTTTACGTGTGTTGTACTACAGCAGAGTGGAATTACATCTTGATGAACCGGATACAATTACCACTGGCATTTGCGTGGCAATAAAATTCATTCATTATTCATTGTCATTATCTACTTTATTAAAAAAGTGTATGATAATGAAAACTAAATAAACTATTAATAATTTACGTTTAACCACCCATGATTCCTGCTCTTACTTATACGTCCTCCCCAATTAAACATATGTCCTCAGATTAGGACAAAGTCTTTTTGTTTTCGACACCACAAAGCACTGAGATCATTTACAGCTTTTTTTCTGAGAGCCACTTTAACAAAACTGGTTTAACAAAGCTGAGTCTGATTCATTTAAAAAAAAACTTATATGTGAAAACACCCCAAACAGGAAGGAGACATGGAGGTGGTAGAGTGTGAACTGATCATAGAGAATAGTAGTGGCAAGATGGGAATATATTGGCTGGGTGGGAGGAGTTTTAGACATATTTTTTTCCAAACGTCAGTTACACAACTATTTTATGCTTTTCGGAGAAGCAGGCAAAGTTCACAGTGAAGTATGACTGAAGAGAAGCCAACAGTAAGCAAACCACCATCTCCAACAGAAAGTCCAACATTCTTGGCAATAAATCTTTAGTTCTTGCTCAGAGGCAAAAATATTTTTGGGAAGAGAAGTGGGAGTAGTGTCTTCTGTTTTCATATGGCCAACACTGAAGATGGGTGTCTGCCATACAGGATTTTTAAGCTCTGAATTTTTTATTTGAAATATTTTTTCTATACTTTTTTATCTTGCACTGGCAAAAATCACTTGCGAAATAATGTTTGTGCTGATGCTGATGTTTGATTTGTTTGTTGATGTGTCTGTTTTGAAAATAAGGTTGCATCATTCAAAACAAATGACTTGCTTTGTGGTTACCTCATTTTCTTGTAAATGTCCTCGTTTTGGACAGGCAGAATCTGGGCAGCTAATAGCGGTTTCAAGGCCTTCTTTGATGAGAAGTTCCACATACTGCTTCAGACACTGCAAATAAAGACAAATTAGACCTCAAAGATAAACTCGTGATAGTCTGACATCCAAAAGCTGTAGTGTTTCTGCTCAATGAATCTGTAATGTGCAACTACAAACATAGAAAACTCTTGATAACAAAATTCCAGAACACATTTCCTGAGCACATCTGAAACATTACCACATCAGAAATGTAATTACAATGTACAGAAACACATTTAAAATATCATCAGAACGCATTATATTGTGTATGTTGATTACAGTAGAGATGCATGGTAAATTGATTCTGCAATAAACGCTCGGTTAGCACAATACCACAGCCATCTCCCAGACTAACTGAACTCCAAAAGAGCCATTTGTGGTCCAGAGAAAAGCAACAGCAATAATAACATTTAAACAGATTGAGAAATGGGCCATTAGGCATCAACAGTAAAATGATAAAAAATATACAGGTCTGTAAGTAGTCCCTCATTATCTTTGGCAAAGATATATGGTAATTTTTGTTCTCTCACAAAACATGTCTTATTATCTGAGCTTTGCTCATAAACAAAACTGCACTCCAGATTTTAAGGAATCTTTTATGGAATCTCTGTCTGAGAGAGACACGGTGCTGCTATAAGGAACAAAAACAGTTTGTGCCTGGCGAGCCCACACCAGCAAACAAGGCCTCACAGTGTTTGAAAGGGGCAACGCCACACCCAGGGTAGAACTTTCCTCTTGGCCAAGAATCCAGTTTCCCTCAACTCCCTTTAGCACTTCTGGAACCATGAAACTGGTCTCAGATCAGTGTAAAAGGCCAAGGCCCACCACCACAGTGCACCACAGGGGGCATGAGAGAACAGAAGTTGCTTCCAGTGTTTATTCCTGGACACTGAATCACACTCAGCCATGTTGGCATAACACACAGTCCACTTGGCCTGTAAATGTTGTTTCTGTCATAGTGAACAGTGCTGTTATACTTGGGCACATTTCAGAAAAAAGCCCAGATAAGAACTGTGGGCTGCAGCACAGCAATTTTATGAGCTTATTTTGAGATTTAGCCTCCGGCTCTAACAGTAAAAACCAAAGGGTAGAAAAAGACAGAAGTGAAGGAATCTAGCAATGGAGTCTATTACTGGTAAACAAGAAATAAAGAAACAAACAAACAATAGATGAGATAAAGAACCAGAATACCACATGCAAACAGAAGTGAAGGAGCCTATCACTGGAGCCTAGTAATAGCAAACAAATAATAGATAAGCTAAAGAACCAGTATTCCACAGTGATGGTGAAAACTCCTCTGGTTTAAATAACACTGGGCCTTGCTGGCCTATCTTAAGTCTTTTTCTTAAATTTGTTTTTGAGAAGGAGCCTAAAAAAAAAGTCTAGATCAGATTCATGAGATGTTCTTCAACCACAGAATTGCTTGCACCTTTGTGCAAATCTCAAATAAGAAAACACTGGTGAACGTCAGAATCTTTGTAAAAAAAGTTGTTTCACATAAACCATTGCAAGACACTAGTATTCCCACATGTCCCACATTCCCACATACCCTTTTCTATCATGCTTCATGAATGCTTGAACTCATCATAGTGCAAGACAATTGTGTGGTATGTCACCAATTGTCCCTGCCTGAATGCTGAAAGAAATGCTGGAGAAATGGGTGGATTAGCTTATACTCACCAGTGTGCAGAAGACACATTGGCACTGTGTGATGGTGGTCATCTGCTCCAGGGGGAACTCTCCCAGGCACAGCTTGCAGGAAACCAGTGGGTCCAGAGCCAAGTCCCAGGTGGGTCGGTACCGGGCTGTGGTCATGGCTGCTTACTGCAGGGCTGTAACAGAATGACCACTGTTAGAAAATAACTTGCTTTTCAAAAAGGGTCATTCGCATAGCTCAAATGACGCCAATCCAGAGAGGCAAAGGCTGCTGCCGTGAAGATAAGTGCTTTTGTAATGCACTGATGCTAACAGCACAAACAAAGAGGACGACACTCCAAATGTACATTAGATTGAAAATGGGCTCCACTGTTTGTATGAGAGAAGTCTAATGGACGTGATCGGGAAAGGGTCAAAGACACTTAGCTGCAGGTTCATTACGCAAGCGACGGTACATGGTTCATGAAGTGCTTCCTAAATTGCTTTCAAGAGTTCAACTGCAATGGAATGACATGAGAGCTCGGCCTAAAATGCTCAGTCAGTTTGGCCCAAGTCACGGACTGAGAGGCGGAGAGGAAACTCTCTAGCTGACTTCTGGTAGGACTCTTCTTCAGCTAAAAAAGGCGCAGAAATCGCACTTCGCTGCCACCTTCTAAATCTCCTTTGCAGATCGAGGGAGGAGAAGGATTATTTTTGGCAGGTGTCTCTCTGCGCTTTCCTGTTTTTTTATTCTAAGCAGGGCTCTGGCACATAGGCTCGCTTGTGTCTGAAGTGTTTACAGGAAATGCTCCTGTGAAAGTCAGCGTCATCCAGCGCTGTCAAAAATGCTCCCCTGGCTGCTAGGCAACTGGAGGATGGTTGAGGGGAAGAAAAAAAGAAAGATGACACATTTCGCTGTTGGAGGGGTAGCACCGGTTCCATGTTCTCCACAATACAGCTGGAGACAGAGAAAGTTAACATCCTAGTTCACACCAAAGCTTTTACAGGTAGACGTTGCAACTGTAGAGGAAAGGATTGTAGTCACAGACAATTCAGTCCCATTGACCCAAAGGAAGCTTTTGTCAGTTTCACTCTCAGCGACTTACCCAGGAAGGCTGTGGGAGGCCTGCCAAAAGTGCTAAGAGCCACTACAGGCCAATCAGAGCAAGGAGCAAAAACATCAGCTACTGAAAGGCAGCTAGGCTGGAACAAATAAACACAGAAGCCTGTAGCAGAAGCAGAAGGTGACTAATTGTGTACAGAGTGGTGCTCAGACAATTAAGGATGCATGTTAATATAATTATCATACCAGCATTGGTGAAAAGCTGAGTAACATCAACATATCAGTTTGATAATCGGTGCTAATATGATGCACATTATTTTGCCCATGTCTGCTGATGATTCAGGCATGAGTTTCTTTGCTTACTTTGTCTAATCTAACAAAGCTTTTAAAAAGAGACGGCACCAATCTGTTACCAAGTATCTGCTTTGGGCTGATATGAGCAGAAAATGGTAAAGAATGAATCCTGTAACAAATCAAGCCTGAAACAGCACACACTCAGGTTGTGCAATGTGATTCGGTGCAGAGTGTTTGAGTAGTTTCAGCATGATAGTCTACTTAGATGTTCATCTTACGTGAAAGTGCTTCTTTTATAAATAGCTCAGTTTAAACCATAGGTTTTAGAGTTTTTAAAGGTATCAGTCAATACTAGGCTTGTGACATTGTGCGCAGTGTATCATTATTTGATTGCGTCACCTGGCTGTTGCCAATTTATGATAGTATCATGGAGGGCATGTAAGAGCCTTGAGAGTGGCAGACAAGCAAGAGCCTCTTTCCAAAAAAGAAAAAAAGTCTGAGTGTGTTTTCAATGCACCTAGAAGACAGTTGCCCCAAATTTTGTTTGAGATCCTGATATTAATCTACACACTGAGGAGCCTCCTAGTTGAGATTCATGGCACTTTTTTTCAAACACATTTTCAGTATGGCAGGTAATGAAGTAATGTTTTTTGGTAAAATTGCACTTTACAGTCTACAAATGGTTTCTTGTTAAAATAAAACTTGCCAAAGCTTACTGTGTTCAGCTAGCCCACAGTTTACTGTTACTGTAGCTTACTCTTGTTATTAGGCTGAGCTATATGAACATTTTTTTCTCAGTTTTTGACAAAAAAGAAAACTTTTTCTGATGGAACCTCAATGTCAGTTATAAAGTCAAAGTTCAAATTTTGTGAGGAAAGATGTTCTGCAGTTATCTGTTTAGCCAGCACCACCAAAAAATAGAACACTATGCTGCTATAGAACATTCTGAAACCAAACATGTACCATGTCTGATACAGGACACTGACGATACATTAAAAGAATACAGATCAAGAGACTCATATGCTTTCCTTTTGCACGTTGTAACGTCATGGACGGTGCTTTTTCTGACATTTAAATCTTGATAGCCATTGGAATATCTGCAATATACAGGTAATTCCTCATACTACCATCCATTGGCTCAAGCTTTGCTGATACTCAAAGTGTCAATGTTGGTATAGGAAAAGAGAAAGTGGTATTGTGCCATTAAACACTTTGGAATTCCATCATCAAGCAGGATACATATGCCCTATGCCCTCTTGTGAATATTGTAGCCCCTGTCACTATTCATTGTTTGTTAATCGTTATTGAATGATGGTCTTTGCAAAGCTGATACGACAATAGGCTGCAATAATCACAGGGGCCAAATAACCTGTCACAGCTTTTTTTTTTTCCTCCACTCTTTGCTATGAGCAACTTGACCAATCATTGTTCCAAAGGACTCTTTCTGTGGGTGATTTGATAAATCAAGGTATTCATAACCCCAACAATCCAATAAAACTAAGATATTCTGATCAAAAATAACACAGACCTGCCTTTGAAAATGTCTCATTACTGATTCACCAACTGCATATTTAATATATTGCAAGGCATATGGCAGTCACAGTACGCAGCAAATGTAATCTGAAGACTAATATTTTGTCCATATCGTGCAACCCTACCTAGCGCTGAGTCAAAGCTGAGAAGCCAGAGCTAATTTAACATGCAGTGCTTGCAGTCTTACGTCATCCCTCAGACTCTCCTCATTCTGCCACATCCTGCCGCTCTCCTTCACTTCTATCCATTCCTGCCATGTTCGCTTGCAACCTCTGTTAGCAGCCCGAGTACCTCTGAGTGCCCTGCAACACACTCTCACAGATCTACAGCTGCATCAGATATGTGAAAGCGTGGGAATTCTGGACTGAATAAACATTAGCTTTAGTTTAGTATAATTATTCATTATATTTTGCTGCCACCACCACGTTTTATATATATATATATATATATATATATAGAATGTTTCATATATATATATATATATATATATATATATATATATATATATATATATATATATAAAAATTGCTATGCTTCATAACTTCTCAAGCAGTGTGCATATGCGCATCAATCCAGTCGGTTAAAGAAGAAAAACAAATACAATCTCAAAATCCCCTGCTCTTTACCACAACTGAACAGTAAGAAACTGATGGCAAAGAAAAGATGTTTGTTATTGCCTAAGCCTTTTGCCTGTAACTCGAATACAGAAATTTAATAACTCAAGCCAGTGAAGAGTGGTTTTCATTTCAGAGCTTGCGAGGAGAAATTCTGGACCTGAGTGGTGCAATGCGAAAGTGAGAGTTCAGTGTGTTGCATTATTTACAAGCAGATCTATTATCGCTCTGCAAGACATCAGCAACAACAAAAGTTCCAAAATGTCAAATGCCTCTGGGAGACTTATTCATATATTTAAATTCTAGCTGTATCAAATCAGAGAGAAATGAGAAACAATAATTTATGTAATGTTCATACCAGTTTTTAAATGAACTGCACAGCTGCAGTCTCGAGCAAAAATAAAGCACTCTGAAAAGCAATTATTGCTCTTTCACACAGTCTGTAGCATCTCAGTGGTACACTACAAAGTGGCATTCTTTTGTTAGCAAGCTGTGTTCGTTTCAAGTCAGGCTGAATAGCACAACAATGGCAGTTGCTACACCTTTACCTAACGCACACGCTGAATCTGAGTCTTGACACAAAAAAAAAAACACATTAGAGCTCACAGCTGCTCGTTCTTTATTTACTCTTTTTAGTGCGGACTCTAGCTCTGGGTTGAATCAGAGCCTCAAACTCCAGCTCATGTGTGAGTCTGAGTTGAATTTTTACCAGAATGGGCTAAAGACAAGTGTCTGCTTCTTTAAGACACACTGGCTAGAAAAAAGCATAAAATGAATCAATTATTTTTGGGGCCGATACTGATTGCCTTTCAGCACAATCGGCCAATAGTTGATACCAACTGAGGGCGGGGTGGGCCGTTAAGGCCTATTCACATTAAGTGTTTTTGGGATGACAGATGCAATTTTAACGTAGTGGAACCTTCAAACTCAACTGTTTCCACAGAGTCGGCTTCTTTGAATCGCACTGGCTAAGAGCCAGAAATATATTTCTGTCGCAGTTATTACTCAGTACATTATTTAATAAATAACACAACAAAAAAAAAGTTTTCAGTGCGATAAAAATTGCACCTATTTTTTCCGTCTGTAAAAATCTACTCACTGGGAAAAGACTTCACAATGACTAAACAGTAGACTATGGGAATGAAAAATGCAGCTTCTAATGGCAATTTCTCTGTCTGACAGTGCACCAGCATTTCATTCATTCCTGCCATGCCTCACAGGGCAACTCACTGCTGTGTGTGTAGTAAAAGCAGCATTGGAGCACAGACTGCTCTTTCATACAGAAAGTAAAGAAAAAAAAGAAGTTATTAAATGCTTCATATAGATTTCATGGTCACTACTGGTAACTACCAATAAATCGTGGTCCCAGCCCTAGTGTTGGTAGTTATGAGTGCCGCAGCTTCTCCACTAAAACAGTTCAGATTAAACAGGGTTCATCTTTATAAAGCCTGTGAGAGACTGATGAGAGATGTGAGGTGGACACATTTTGATTTTATCTCCCAAAATGTAGGCTAATCATATAATGGCATTGATGATTGCATAAGATCCATTTCATAAGCTACCTTTAGCTGATATGTTGAAATGCTAACAACAGCTGCAAGGTCACACAGAGACGGCTACAGCAAATACTGGGTTGTTACCAGAGCAACCATTCACTCTCCTCTTTCAGAGACAGCAACAACTATGATGCATG